CCCTCTCCGCAAGCGAGGAGACACTGGCCCTGGTAGAAGGCCTGGGGAAAGGAGCAGGACGTACACTGAGTAGACAAAGGTCCCGTGCAGCTGGTGCACGAACTGTGGCAAACTGGGAACGAAGAAAGAAAGAAAGAAAATGTCAATCAAACTTTTCACGATTTGAATCTTAGAATAACAGAATAGCAGAGCAACAGAGTTGGGAGGGACCTGGGAGGTCTTCTAGTCCAGGGGTCCCCAACCTGTGGGCCATGGCCCGGTAGTAGGCCGTGGCCTATTGGCCACTGGGCCGCAGGACAGGCTGGCCAGTGCGCGCATGTGTGCGTGCACACCCCCCCACTCACGGCGTGTGAAAACAGGCCGCCACCGCACCTTGGGAGGAAAATGGGATGACGATGCCGCGCTGCGGGCACAAAAACAGACGGCGCTGTGCCGCACAAGAACGGGGCAGGTCTAACGATTATCACGCAAGCGCTAGCCCTGTTTGCGTCACGTGTGTGCTCATGGCCTCGTGTGTGCGCGCATGCACACGCGCATGCGCACGTAAAATGCTTCCCCCTCCCTTTCCCTCCGGTCCGCCAACCGACAAAGGTTGGTGACCTCTGTTCTAATCCAACCAGCCAGTCAAGATCGAACTGCTTGTAGTGGGGCAGAATTGGCCTGCAATACCGCATTCTAACCACTGCATTCCTATGGCTCTTGTGTATGTATTGGCTCCTCCAGAAACCTCCCTCCCACCTCGATTCCTGCACCCAGTGCTATTGAACCAGATAACATGCCAGAAGACTCCTATTTTAGAGACGGCTCCTTGTTAATCAGTATTCCAGAAAGACTTCAGCAGCTGATTTAAGCAAAAGATCTATTTGTTATGCGAAACAACACTAAACAGCAAGCCAGCTTGTTTTTAAATAAGATTCCCTACTCCCTGACCATTTAATACTAGCGCTGATTTCAATGAAACTAAAAGCAAGTATCATGTAAAGTCTTCACAAAACAAAACATGAAGCTATTATCTGTATACAATAAACTCACACACATATATATGATGCATACACACAAACATGTAGTCCTTGACTCAACTGAACTCAAAATGTCTATTGCTAACTGACTACCTGTATGTATGAGTGGGTAACTGTATGCAAAAGTGTGATCCTCAACCAGAAGATATAGTAGGTGGTACCTTGCTCAATAGTAGCAATAGTAGCAATAGTGAGAGGGATCTTGGGAGTCCTAGTGGACAATCACTTAAATAGGAGCCAGCCATGTGCTGCAGCTGCCAAAAAAGCCAACACAGTGCTAGGCTGCATTAATAGAGGGATAGAATCAAGATCACGTGAAGTATTAATACCACTTTACAATGCCTTGGTAAGGCCACACTTGGAATCCTGCATCCAGTTTTGGTCACCACGATGTAAAAAAGATGTTGAGACTCTAGAAAGAGTACAGAGAAGAGCAACAAAGATGATTAGGGGACTGGAGGCTAAAACATATAAGGAACGGCTGCTGGAATTGGGTATGTCTAGTTTAATGAAGAGAAGGACGAGGGGGGACAGGATAGCCATGTTCCAATATCTCAGGGGCTGCCACGAAGAAGAGGGAGTCAAGCTATTCTCCAAAGCATCTGAAGGCAGGACAAGTAGCAACAGATGGAAATTAACCAAACAGAGAAGCAATCTAGAACTAAGGAGAAATTTCCTGACAGTGAGAACAATTAAACAGTGGAACAACCTGCCTCCAGAAGCTGTGAATGCTTCAACACTGGAAGTTTTAAGAAGAGACTGGACCGCCATTTGTCTGAAATGGTATAGGGTTTCCTGCCTGAGCAGAGGGTTGGACTAGATGACCTCCAGGATCCCTTCCAACATTATTATTATTATTGTTGTTGTTGTTGTTGTTGATCATCGCACAGTGAGCCAGATGTTGAGACTGGATTTGGCATTTTTGTCTACCTATTGAGTCCTTACCAAGGACCTGGGATAGGCAGATGTGNCCCTCTCCGCAAGCGAGGAGACACTGGCCCTGGTAGAAGGCCTGGGGAAAGGAGCAGGACGTACACTGAGTAGACAAAGGTCCCGTGCAGCTGGTGCACGAACTGTGGCAAACTGGGAACGAAGAAAGAAAGAAAGAAAATGTCAATCAAACTTTTCACGATTTGAATCTTAGAATAACAGAATAGCAGAGCAACAGAGCTGGGAGGGACCTGGGAGGTCTTCTAGTCCAGGGGTCCCCAACTTGTGGGCCGCGGTCCGGTAGTAGGCCGTGGCCTACTGGCCACTGGGCCGCAGGACAGGCTGGCCAGTGCGGGCATGTGTGCGTGCACACGCACCCTACTCACGGCGTGTGAAAACAGGCCACCACCGCACCTCGGGAGGAAAATGGGATGACGATGCCGCGCTGCGAGCACAAAAACAGACGGCGCTGTGCCGCACAAGAACGGGGCAGGTCTAACGATTATCACGCAAGCGCTAGCCCTGTTTGCGTCACGTGTGTGCTCATGGCCTCGTGTGTGCGCGCATGCACACGCGCATGCGCACGTAAAATGCTTCCCCCTCCCTTTCCCTCCGGTCCGCCAACCGACAAAGGTTGGTGACCTCTGTTCTAGTCCAACCAGCCAGTCAAGATTGAACTGCTTGTAGTGGGGCAGAACTGGCCTGCAATACCGCATTCTAACCACTGCATTCCTATGGCTCTTGTGTATGTATTGGCTCCTCCAGAAACCTCCCTCCCACCTCGATTCCTGCACCCAGTGCTATTGAACCAGATAACATGCCAGAAGACTCCTATTTTAGAGACGGCTCCTTGTTAATCAGTATTCCAGAAAGACTTCAGCAGCTGATTTAAGCAAAAGATCTATTTGTTATGCGAAACAACAACACTAAACAGCAAGCCAGCTTGTTTTTAAATAAGATTCCCTACTCCCTGACCATTTAATACTAGCGCTGATTTCAATGAAACTAAAAGCAAGTATCGTGTAAAGTCTTCACAAAACAAAACATGAAGCTGTGATCTGTATACAATAAACTCACACATATATGATGCATACATACACACAAACATATACATACATGTAGTCCTCGACTCAACTGAACTCAAAATGTCTATTGCTAACTGACTACCTGTATGTATGAGTGGGTAACTGTATGCAAAAGTGTGATCCTCAACCAGAAGATATAGTAGGTGGTACCTTGCTCAATAGTAGTAACTGTGAGAGGGATCTTGGGAGTCCTAGTGGACAATCACTTAAATAGGAGCCAGCCGTGTGCTGCAGCTGCCAAAAAGCCAACACAGTGCTAGGCTGCATTAATAGAGGGACAGAATCAAGATCACGTGAAGTATTAATACCACTTTACAAGGCCTTGGTAAGGCCACACTTGGAATCCTGCATCCAGTTTTGGTCACCACGATGTAAAAAAGATGTTGAGACTCTAGAAAGAGTACAGAGAAGAGCAACAAAGATGATTAGGGGACTGGAGGATAAAACATATAAGGAACAGTTGCTAGAATTGGGTATGTCTAGTTTAATGAAGAGAAGGATGAGGGGGGACAGGATAGCCATGTTCCAATATCTCAGGGGCTGCCACGAAGAAGAGGGAGTCAAGCTATTCTCCAAAGCATCTGAAGGCAGGACAAGTAGCAACAGATGGAAATTAACCAAACAGAGAAGTAATCTAGAACTAAGGAGAAATTTTCTGACAGTTAGAACAATTAATCAGTAGAACAACCTGCCTCCAGAAGCTGTGAATGCTTCAACACTGGATGTTTTTAAGAAGAGACTGGACCGCCATTTGTCTGAAATGGTATAGGGTTCCCTGCCTGAGCAGAGGGTTGGACTAGATGACCTCCAAGATCCCTTCCAACATTATTATTATTGTTGTTGTTGTTGTTGATCATCGCACAGTCAGCCAGATGTTCAGACTGGATTTGGCATTTTTGTCTACCTATCGAGTCCTTACCAAGGACCTGGGATAGGCAGATGTGGATGTTTGATGGTGTTACAGATAACGTCGCAGGATGGAAGCTGTTCCTAGTAAGGCTGCCTTTTGCAATTGACTAATAGCAAATTTGTCAATGCCAATGGTGTTCAAGTGGTGCTCCAGTTGTTTTGGGATTGTACCCATGGCGCCTATTACTATTGGTACTACCCTTGCTTGCCTTTGCCAGTCTTTCTATTTCTATTTGTAGGTCTTTGTATTTTGTTATCTTCTTCAGTTCTTTCTCGTCTATTCTGCTGTCTCCAGGCATTGCCATGTCCACTATCCAGATTTTTTTGTCTTTCTTATCGACAATTGTTAAGTCCGGGGTGTTATGTTGCAGGTGCTTGTCTGTTTGAATTCTGAAGTCCCAGAGCAGTTTAACTTTATCATTTTCTATGACTTTCTCTATTTTATGATCCCACCAGTTCTTGCTTACAGGCAAATGATATTTCTTGCAGATCTTCCAATGCACCATTGTTGCTACTTT